ATGCCACCAAGATTTTTGCAAGTGGATCATGTTCAAAGGAAGGTTCTGTAAAGAGCTTTCTGAAGCCTCTGCAGATGAGAGACTTCTCAGGTGAACAGCTTAGACATGGAGTGGAGCAGAAGTGGGACAAGTAGTGGGACACTGCACAGTCTTTATGGCAAGACTGGCTGTCCTTGAGATGGTAGAGTTGGTAACACCAACTGTGGGAGCTCACCAGATGTGAATATTAGGAAACTGGATTTAACAAATTAATCTGTGCTTATGTTTGGTTTGGTTTGGTTTTGATTTCTGTCACAAAGCTTTTAAGATGATATCTATTGGTTTTACTGCCCAGGCCTCAAACCACAAGAAACCAGGACTGAGCACAGGCTTCTGCTTTCTCTTCCATCCTGGATCTGTGACTCTTGCCAAAGCAGGCACATTTCTCTGCCTTCTCTGCTATTGTCCAGTTCAGTTAGTACAGGCAGTATGAGTAGAAGACATGAACTGAAAGGTATGAATTGTCCAAAAATGTACTGATTTCCCCCAGATGCGGTGTCTATCTGTAACCTTCCGGCATCCTTTATTTTATGTTCTTAAAATAGCTGGAGTCTTTTTGTACTTATTTCCATGGAGACCCAGCTGTCAAAAATGCTTTAAGTTCCCAGTTACAGGATAGGATGTTGTAGAACACAGTAACTTCAAGAAACCCTGTTTCCTGCCTGCACCTGATGCATCTAACAGCAGCTTACGGGTCCTCTCAGCAGTAAAACCATCAAAGGACACTGTTAAAGCTTTTCCTAAAATGCCATTGTGGGCTACACATTTCCTTCCTGGTAAAGGCAGGCTCTTACAGAAAATGGCTGAAGGAGAAAAAATAGAAGGCAAACCAAATGAAGGTGAGTTACTCACTCCAAAACAGCAAGGGGATAATTTTGACGTTAGGAATTACAGTGCTTAGGCCTGGGGCCAAGCACCCTTTTTCTGTACAGCTTAAAACTAACCATTGAGTCACTATCCTTCCATTTGTTTCTAAAATGAAAGGTTTGCTAAAATTTTAGTGTGTTTTCCTGTTGTCCTTGTGATAGTACAATAATAGTCCATGTGACTGAAGGATTGTCCAAAATGGAATTGATTTACCCCCAGGCAAAGCTCCTGATTTTTACAACATTGTGAAGACTCAGATATTTGTGTGTTAGTCAGGACTAACTGACCAAGGTGAGGCAGGACAGTTCCCAGGGATGTCCCAACCCATGGCCCCAGGTGGCAGCAGATTGGTTGGAAATGGACAATATCCAGATGCTTAGTTTTTATTTCCCTAATCTCTGCCTGAGAGAAAGCCACACTTTCCCCCGTGGGACATTTGCCAACAAGACTCCAGCCCTGCCCTCACATCTGCCACCAAAGAGGTGCTGCAGTCACCAGGGCAGTCCTGCAAGGCCCATGGAAGGACTTGTTATGCAAGTGCTACAGAACAATCCAAATACTCATTTCATCTGCCAAATCTCCTTTGTGCTGAAAAGGTGTTAGCTGGAGAGATACAAGGTGTTCTTTCTATATATATATAAGCAAACATCAAGTTATTATTCACATGAATATGAATATGAAAAAGATCCACAGTGTGTGCATGATGTTGTTTCAAATGAAGCTCCTAATAGGAAGTATTTTAGGGTTGCATTTGTGTTAAACTTCTGAAGTCTCTCAGAAATTCTTTCACAATTGAATCCCAGGCTGACAGGAGAGATTTCTTTATGTCTACCATAATTTGCTATATTTTTTCTGCTTTATCTTATTATGCACCATCATAAAGCATTATCTCATTATGCATCACCAAATTTACCTGAACTTCTGTTCTCAGTTCATTACCATTATTCTTTTTCATTAATTTTATTTGCAGGTAATCCTTGCTCTAGCTCCCAAGTCAGCTAAACTAAAGGGTACTTCAATGTACCCTTTTAGATCAAAACTGATTGACATTCTTCTGTAGAAAACTATAATCAAAACTGTATTCTCAAACCCCAGTATTGCAGGAGACATCACAAAGACTAGACATGAGCCTGCTGAGATTTGGGGCTTGGACTAGACAACCTCCAGCAGCCCATCCAGCCTCAACTGTTCCATACTTCTCTTTAACCCAGACCATTCTGTGCCAGGGCTGATAATCTGCTACACACTACAGTTATTATTAACACTTTATTGCATTTTTTCTCAAGGTCTGGTCTGGATTACATAAATCAATCTTTCATACCATGAAGTATTAGATTATACCATAACTAATAGAGATAAAGATGGCACAGAACAGGGTAGTAAATGTTGGGCTCAGGAATGAGTGAATGAATAGGAATGGGTGAAGGAGACAGTGTCCAGCAACAAGCAGAAAGGTTGCAGAAAAGCAACGAGCAAAGGAGGGACTTTGTGGAATGAGAGAGAATCCAGCAGAAAGGAGGTGGGTAAAAGCTGTCTCTGATAGAAACAGGTTGGCTGAGAAAAGGGAAGAATGTAGAGGCAGCAAAGAGATTGGAAAAAAAGGCAAAGACTTTGCAACAGAAAGGAGAGTTAGCACAGAAATTATGTCTGCTCCACACTTTACAGCAGTTTACATCTTGACATTACAGCTTGTAAGCACAAAGAAAATGACCAGGTCTGGGACATGTTCCCTCTTTTCAAAGGTGCACTGGAAAATCTAAAACAAAGCTGAATTTCAAAAGGGAGCTCTCAGTTTAACCTTGGGAAGGATGTTGGTGATCAGATCTCCCAGAAAATGAACATTTCTGGTTCCGAGTCAGAAAGCAGTGAGGGAAGGAAGTGAATCTGAGCACCAAGCTTCAGCCTGACCTCACAGCAGGTCTGAAGGGAACATCCCATCAGGAACTCCTCCGCTCCCCTTGGAGCAAGGATCTGTTCTGCCCCCTGAGTGCCAACCACGGCACAGCCATCTCGGAACAGAATCTCCCAGGAATGAGGCTGGAGGGGACCCTGGAGGGCCCCATGCAATCCATTCCCCATATCAGCACAGGGTAAACTACACAATCCTTCCCAGTACTTTTAAGTGGCCTTACATACCTCCAGTGGCAGAGTTTCTCACCTGCCTCAAGCAGTCTGTTTCTGAGCCTTCACCAGCCCTTCCTCATCTCTAGTGGCCATATTTTGGTGAACTTTAGGCCTTTTTGGTGTAATCCTGTCCCATGTGGACAAGCAGATCAGGTTATTGTCTTAATTTTCTGACACACCACGTTTACATACTGCTGTCATGCTTCCCAATCAGTCTTCTCCTCATTAGAGTAAACAATTCCAACTGCCCAAATCTCTCTTCAGAATCAAATCTTCTCTATATACTGGTCACTCCTGGGAGGTTACTTTGACACTCTTAATTTTTCTTGAGACGTACTGGCTAAAGCTGGACATGTCTCCACCACAAGTCTTGCTTTTGCCTCTGTGGGTGTGGAGTACAATATTCATTGGAGGCACAGTTTTTACTTTTTCCCTGCAGAGTGAGTTTTCTGAAAATCAGGAGATTTGTTAGCAGTCTTCAGTTTTTATTCCCGAATCAGGCTGTTGAACAAATTGGCAGATTTTAATGGGGGTAACAGAAAGGCGCTTTCAGTCTGAACGAGCTGTTTTATCGCAGCATTCTTACAGTTCTTGTTGATATAAAAGGAGAGCAGGATGACAGATGATGACATGGAGCAGGGATGTGCTATTGCAAAGACTGCCAGACACTTCAGCTGAATTTAAGAATATTGTATCTGGGGTGAAAGAAGCATTATTAGCAAGTACTGTAAAGAAATTCAGGATGTCCTGCCCATTAAGGAAATCACAGGTTACAGAAAGGTGGACATCTTTTTAAACACAGAGTAGTGTTTTTAAATTCAAACATACAGATGACAATTCATCAAAATCCTTCCCTTGGATCACTCTAGCAGTTGCTGTAAACAGTAAAACATGTACAGCATTTGAAGTAATTTAGCCAATGCTTCAGGACACACCTTTTCTTTTTCCCATGTCATTTCTGCTCACACTGATTCTTTTTCCTGTCCTGCTGAAAGAAATAGTGGACAATTATTTTCCCTCCCAGTTTTGGTGAGAAAAGTCTGCTCTCAAAGACAAGCGGAAGGCTTTCTGTTGGAGAGGCTGAAAGAAAGCAGGGGGTTGGCAGTTTAAGGGCAGTGAGGGACATTGGGGCTGATTATATATTAAGGCTAAGGTAAAAGCCTCAGGAGAGGAGTTACTGAGTCTGAGCCCTGTCTTTGTGTCTCTGCTTTCTCCCTTTTTTGCCCTGCCTCATGTCTGCTTTCCTCTTCCTCTGCAGAGGATTAAGAGGTAGAGAAGATCTGACAGGATAAATTTCTCTCAGCACTTCAGTTCGGTAACTATATGTGTAGAATTAGGATTTAAGCTTACAGTTACAAGTAATTTTAGGTTTTTAAACATCTGATTTTATGATGTACAAGCAGAATAAAATAGGCTGTGTGCTTACAATTAGTTTCATAGAGAACACACAGAACCTCACGCATTGTGTACTTGGAAAGACAGAGCTGAGCATTAACTCAGACAGCAGCACACTCTCCTCCAGTCTAATAATCTAGTGAATAATCTATTTTATGCTATTATGGTGTTATAATTACATCCTCATTCATTTACTCAAAAGAAAACCAGAGCAATTTAGGCAGTCCAAGACAAAAAGTGTTATGAATCTTGCCCAGTTTCAAATTCAATTACAATAATATAGTTACCTAATGCATTACTTCAGAAATTGAGCAGTTAAAAATAAAGCAATGAAACAAGCTGTTACAGATTTTTTTTTACATTTTCCAGCAGATGTGTGGTGTCTTCGTGAGGCTGGACAGGATGCCGTAGTGGAGCGAGGGCTGCACGGCAGTTTTTAATAATTAAATAGATAATAATTTTACCTAGAAAGCCCCAAACTGGAGTTCATTTCACCACCACCCTTGTTGAAAGCTGAGGTGTGACGGTGGCTGGTGAGGCAGGACGGCCTTGGTGCCACAGGGGCGGCCACTCACCTCAGCCAAGCGTCAGTGTCACTCATGTGCTGCTCTGCCTTTCGGGGCGACCGAACAGGGAGCGTTTGGGATGGCCTTAGGGACGAACAGGGAGTGTTTGGGATGGCTTTAGGGCCGAACAGCGAGTGTTTGAGATCGCTTTAGGGCCGAACAGGGAGCGTTTGGGACAGCCTTAGGGCCGGCTTTAGGGCCTGTGTTTGTGTGTGGGGCTGCGCATGCGCCGCGGGGGAGCCACGGTCCTCTCAAGATGGCGGCTCGGGGAAGAGGCGGAGTTGGACACACTCAAGATGGCGGCAGCGCACGGATGCGCTGGCGGGAAGGACACAAAATGGCCGGCGCGAGGCCCCCTCTCCTCAGAAAGGTGCCCGCCCACCTGCCTGAGCCGCCCCTGCCTCCGCCCCCGCGGGGCAGCGCCATCCCGCCGCTTTTGCCCCCTGTGGGGACAGGGTGGAGGGTGAGCGGCGCCAGGGCCGGACGGGAGGAGAGCGGGCGGCTCAGGCAGCGCCGGGGCAGCCGCGGTCGCGGCGCGCCGCTGAGGCGCGAGGGCCCCTGACGCGGCGCGGGGCGGTGGCGGGTCCGGCCCGGCCGTGAGGGCTCCGAGGGCGCTCTGAGGGCTCTCCGAGCGCTGTGCGGGCTGTGGGAGCTCTGAGGGCTCTCAGGGGGCTCCTCCCGCGCCGCCCCCCCGGCCCGCCGACATGGCATCGGGGCTGCGCGCCGCCGGGTTCCCCCCCTGGAAGCGGCACATCGCGGCGGAGCTGCGGCGGCGGGACCGGCTGCAGCGCCAGGCCTTCGAGGAGATCATCGTCCAGTGTAAGCGCTGCTCCTGCACCCGTCCGTGCCGTCAGTGCCTGCGGGGACGGGGCAGAGCATGGTCCAGGCTCTGCTCGGGGGGCCCAGCAATGGCACAAGATGAACGGGCGGGAACTGATGCTCAGGAAGCTCCACCTGGACATGAGGAAGAAAATCCTTGCTGTGCAGTGACCGAGCTCTGAACAGGCTGCACAGGGAGGGTGTGGAGTCTCCTGAGTGGGGATATTCCAGAACGCTCTGGATCCAATCCTGTGCCACGTGCTCTGGGGTGGCCCTGCCGGAGCAGGGAGGGGGGACCAGGTGACCGCCGTGGGCCCTTCCAGCCCGAGCCGTTCTGGGATTCTGGGATTGCCCCTCCTCGAAAGCGGGAGAAGCGGGGCGGCTCAGGGCCCTGGGCCTCGCTGTGCCGCTGGGACGTGTTTGTGGCAGCTGGGAAAAGTCGGGGTTCTGCTTTATCGAGGAAAACGAGTAGTTGTTTCTCTCAGTTCCCTCAGAGGATGGGGCGCTTTGTGGTGCGGACAGTGATTGAATGTGTGAATTGTCTGCCCGATTCCTCCCCAGATGCTTGTGGAGTTGGGAACAATAGTGCTATTGACCGTGCTCACGGTCCTTTGTACAGCCGGGAGCTGCTCGGGGGCCGGCACTGTCTGTGCGGGGCTCCCCTGCCCGGCGTGTCCGGAGCGATCACCGGGCACTGCCCGCACACACCGCGGGGCTGGGGCTGCACGGGGCTCTCAGCGGGGCTCGGGCTGAGCGGGGCTCGGGCTGAGCGGGGCTCTGCAGGGCTGTTCTTTTCGCTGTCGTCCGAGGGGCTGTAAAGAGCCTGAACTTCGAACTTTTCCTGTTCTATCGGATGGCAATGCACTTGAGCGGTCTCCCTCTCTCTGTTAAGCTCTCTTACACCAGTCCCACACAGCATCTGGACTAAGGAGGAATTCTTGGGGTTATAGGTGGGTAGTGCCTTAACCTGCTGAGATCAAAGAGGAGAGAGAGCACACTAATGTGGTGGAGGCTCCCATAGCATTTGGTTGTGTCACAGTAATTAAAGAGACTAGATCACAGCTGGTAGGAGAAGGTGGGAATCTGGATTTGCTTTCTGGTTATCTTCTTAATTGCACTTTTTGCTCTTGCAGATAACAAGCTGCTGGAGAAGTCAGACCTTCATGCAGTGCTGGCTGATAAGCTTCAAGCAGAAAAATATGACATGCAGAGCAGACATGAGATCAGGTGTGTAAAACTCCTCCTCTGTGGTGCACCCTGTAACCTTACACAAACAGCTTCTGGGACACTACAGTGATCTGGCACGCAACAAATCTGTTGAACTAAAAATAAGTTACAACTGTGTCTAAGCATGTGATGAAGTTACAGTACATTTACAGAAAAGTCTGACCAAGTTTGGGACAGAAATTGATTTGTCACAAACTCACAGTGTGCAGGTGGAGCAGAAGGAGCTGCTGCTTCTGATCTGTTTGCCTTGTAATGCTTATAATATTTGCTTGCTGTTAGTTCCTAAGGATTATGAAATTGTTGGATTGCAGTGCAGGGAGAAACTGATGTCTTGGTTTCTTTCAATCCGTGTTATTACATAGAAGGGGAGAATAGAAAAAAACCCGATTGTGAAGTGTCAGTCCCAAATAAGCACCAGATGCTAAAGGAAGGTTTCTTCTGCCTGCTGTTTGGCAGGAGTCCCCTCTAACCTGGGAATAGCACTCTGGTGCTGCAGGCAGAGGTCATGCTGCTCATTCTGCTGGTGTTTGACTCCAGAGCAAAGCAGTGTCCTTTGGACAGTCTCTACATCCCATAGGGAAAGTCTCTTGGGTTCTGCCCTTGGTGTACCTGAAGAAAAGGCAGGGCTAAGGAGCACAGAATTCCTACTTCTGTGGGAATTGCTTCCTCTGTTGAAGTTCTTTTTGCCCTTGTCCTGGAACCAGCACAGCTCTGTAATGCAGAACTGTGCAGATGTGTCTGACTGGGGTACAAACCAAATCAATGTAGCAGAGAAGGAGGATTTGCAGGCAAAATGTCAGTGTTTGGCCAGCAGGCTGGAGTGACCTGTGTGAAAGTTCCCAAAAGCTTCCTGGTGGCTGCAGTTGTCTTGAACCATCTCCAGTTTATGGGAATCGGATCCTGGTTGAGCACCTGCTCCAAGAGATGGGGCTGGAGTCGATGAGGATGAGAAGACAAGCACAGAAACAGCATCTTGAAGTAAATACTAAGCTGAACTCTGATACTGTGCTCAATATATGGCAGTTTTTCAAAACAAAATTACTTTTCTAGTCCTAGATAGCTGAGGAAAAACGTTTTTACTTCCCTCAAGGCCAAGGGAAGAGTACCTAATTCTGGCTATAGGGGTATGCATGGCCAGAGTTATAGGATGTGTTGGATATTACCACAGGGCTTGGCTTCCTGTCTGTTTGCACACAGTGTTTTGGGAATGCAGTTAGTGCAGCATCAGTTCAGTGAGGTGTTGATTGGTTGGTTGGTTGGTTTTTGAGAAGAGCATTAAGTTACTGATATCACTGTGAGGCCTTTCAGCTTTTGGATGCATTATCTGTTTCTCACTGGACTGTTACAACGTGGAATGACTGCAGAAAGGGATGCAATTGCCTTGTTCTGTTTGTCTGCTATAATGAAGTTAAAATTACAATTTTTTTAAAAGTTGTAGTTCAAAATATAGCTGCAGATGTGCTCAGAGTGTGTGTGATGTGTGATGTGTGTATATGCCTTTTAAAAGCCTGTTTTTCTCTGTCTCTGCCTCTGTGCTTTCAGAGACATGAGTGATAAATGTTACGGTCATAGTTGTTTTGGGGAAGTGATATGTGTGTTCTGGTGTGTAGAAATTCAAGATTATCTTACAGTAATACTGTGTTGTAAAGCACAGTCAGAAACCACTCCAAAACTTACCTGCAATCAGGGCATAGACAGCACAATGGAGAAGTGACTTGTCACACCTGGGACTGTAAACCCAAGAGCATGGAAATTACAACCCTGATTCCCTGGATTTTGGTTCTGTGCCCTCTCCAGATACCCAGCATCTTCAAGGTCCACCAGCTCCCTCCAGAACAAATCGAGGGGGTAAAACATTTGTAATTGTTCCAGCATTTGGAGAGTGTGCTTTTAAGACTCACTTTTCTTCATGCAAATTTAAACAAAGGCTAGTTATCTTCCATTTGATTTTGAATTCTGTTTTACAGATGTACAAAAAGGTGAATCTAGTCCTCAGGAAATGTAACTTTCCTTTTGGTTGGTGCAGGAGTGTGTGGTGTGGGAGCCTGGTTTGGTTTGTTATGAATGACCTGTGTCTCTGGTGCAGTGTAGAGAATCCAAGGGAGGCAATGTCCTGGGACTTTCAAAGGCACAGAAACAATTGATTCTGGTTTGTGACCTTTCTTCTCTCTCCAGCTGCAGCCCAGGACACGATGGCACATGGAATGATGCTCAGCTGCAGGAACTGGCCCAGCTGAAGATAAAGCACCAAGAGGAGCTCACTGAGCTGCACAAGAAACGTGGCGAGGTCAGAGAGTCCTCTCGTGCTCTGAGTGGTCCCTACGTGGCCCTCAGGGGGTGTGACCTTAATTTTACCAAGCTTATTAATCATCATTTTTTCCTCCTTTTGTGTAGGGCCTTTTTAAGCTTCCCCAATTTTTGATGACTAAAATCAACCAGAGGTGGCTGGTCTGTAACACTCACACCAGGAGATGAGAGCTTACATTGTCAGCACAGCATGATTTTAAGTGCTTAATTTTGTGTTTCACTAATAGGTTTTTAACTGTACTAGAGGAGGAAGGAACTGATGTGGGTCACAGAGCTGTGTATGACCACTAGTTCTACATTGAAAAGTGAGAGCATAAGTGGCATGTGTGGTTTCACTGGTCTTGCTTTGCAGCACCACTGCTGTGAGAGGGGATGGAATAAACAAGCATAAGCAAAGGTTGGAAGAGCAATGATGTTGGACTGGAAAGGGAGTGCTGGGTCATAGCCCAGGAGCTCTGTGACTATGGCACTTGGGCTTGGAAGAGAGGAAAAGCCAGGGGGTTTGAGTTTGTGTTTTTGGAGGGTTTTTTTGACAGGGAGATGTGGAGGCTTCATCGGCAGAATTGGGGTTTTTAGAAGCACAGTGGTGGACTGAATGAGTCCAGAAGCTGGTACCTGAATTGTACTGCAGAATTCTATAGGGAAAAGGTGTGAATGACCTGGAAAATGCTGTCATGCTCCTCTGAACACATTTCACTGGAGGTGTGGAAAAGCTCCAGTGTCAGCAATTCTGAGCTTTCCAAAGGGGAGACAGCTTTCTACAGGAGGTGTGCACCAACTACTCAGGGCTCTGACAAGTCCTTCTTTCCCCCCAAGGTGGTGTTCTAAAAGCCACCTGCCCAGGCAGGTACTTTTCTCCAAGCTCTGACTGGAGAGTTGTGATCTGGCAGCTGCAGCTCTGTAGTGTTGGCCTGT